AGGGAAGAGAGGGGAGGGGAGGGGAGGGAAGGAGAGGGGAGGTGGAGGGGAGGGAGGGGAAGGGAGGGGAGGGAAAGGGATGGAAAGTATAGGGAGGGGAGGGAAAGAAAGGAACCTTACTTTTTTTGCCACTGTTTGAAGAAATGTACTCTAGAAAGTCCCAAAGCCAGATAATTAAAATCTAGGCTCCAAGGTCAAAATTGAAGTAGAACCCATGTTCTCCTTCATTACCTATAAAATGCATCATTTTCCATCTAAGAGAAGCTCTGTTTTGAGGCTCTACTTTAAACATGTAAACTACCATGTAGTGTCTACACGGTAAACAACAGGCTCCATGAATCTGCACTTAACTCCAGCCCTTTACCCGGATGACAGTGATGTGCTCAAATGTCCCTCCATGGACTGTACATTCTGCAGTTGCAACTGGACAGATGTGCCCGTTGGAGAAGCACCTTACCCAGGCAAACGTGACAAGTCAAGACATTCTTCAGGAAGTCCGTGAGGTCCCTCCTGGCGGGCAGGACCAGTGCGTGCCCCACAGCTGTGTTATTGATCTGGTCAAAAAAAAAAAAGGAAACACTCAGTAGGAATGTTCAAAATCAGTAACTACTTGCAAAATATAGCTGAACAATAAATTAGAGTCACATCAATAAAACAAACTTCCCAGAGGATCAGTATCTTCTCACTGTTTTAGAGGGGAGGTTAGAAGAGTCACTGAGTTTAATAGAAAAACACAGGTTTTCTTCTGCTGAAATGAGCTGGAGTTTGAATCCCACTCCTGCACTTTCTGCCGAACCTGAAGCAAGATTATTTAACCTCTCCGGGGTTCAGTTTCCTCGGCTGTAAAATGGGATGACAGTAAATTCTCAACAGAATTATTTGCGGGATTAAGTTTGGTAATGTGTGGAAAATGCCTGGTCTAGCCTCTATCGAATAGTGGGGGCTTAAAGAATATCATCACTTTCTGCAATAATAATAACAACTGGGAAACACTAGCTCCATTGCTTCATCTCTCTCCCAGGTCTCAAAAGGGATTAAATCATTTCCAGAGGATTCACAATTCCCGCCCACCACAGCACCCGCCCACCACAGCACACCATCACTAATTGTTTATTTAATGAATAATTAAGTTCAATTAATGAATAATTCATTTTTCGAAGTTAGACACATGTGTGGTTCTGGGTCCCTCTGCCCACACAGCACGCCCCTTACAAGAGCACATGGCTGGTGGCCCATGCAGGATCCTGGCCCATGCAGGATCCCACGCCCAGTGCTCTGTGCCCCAACTGGCCTGCGGTTTGGAGAATAAACCCTGAGAAATGTTGGCAATGACCCAGCTGCCTCTCGCTGACACAGGCAATGAGAAAACCACAGACTGTCCAGCGTGGAAGTACAAATCTTGGAGCCTGTCTCAACCCGCCTCATCTTCTACAGGTAAGTAATCTAAGCCATGGAGAAGTGAAATGATGTGACCACGTTACTGTAAGAGACCTAAAGCCAGGTGCTGAGTAGACTAATAACAGAGCCAGGGCCTCCTCACTCCTGGTCCAGCTCTCCCTTCGTGCCCGCCATCCACCCCCTTGAACAAGAAGCCCAGAATTTACAATGAGAAATAATCATTGATTAAGTGTAACAAACAAGTTATTCAAGCAAATGACAAGGGTGCCCGTTTCCGTGTCACAAGCGGATCCTTGGGTGCCAGCCCAGCTGAAGAATGGTTTGAGCAGCGGTACACCCTGGGGAGCCGGACTCACCAATTTCTGGGGACCTCACTAGGAGATGGAAGACCTCCAGGGTGACCCTGGGAGATTGCCCTTTAACACATGCGGAGGGAGCCTAGGACATGGTGCTGGAGCCAGAGGCTGTCCTGGAAACCCCACTAGAGAAGTTCTCAGCATATCAGTGTCCTCCAGGACCTTCTAGAAACTGTGGGTCATGGATACACCATTGGGGGGAGGGGGGGAGGGCATGCCTGAGAACCTTCCCAGAACCCAAGAAGGACAGCAGGAGGTGTCACAGAGCAGCCGGGCACAGACCTGTAGGCGTTGACCAGCTGCCGGTCCTCCTGCTGTGAGGAACAAGGCGTGATCCCAGCATCCGACAGCTTCAGCACAGCCTCCTGAGCTGTGGGATGCCCTCGTGGCTTATGCTGAAGAAAACGGC